AATCGCGATTTCTCGATTTAATATAAAATTAAATTGTCGTCAAAACGTAAATTCAAATTAAACGAAAAAATTGCCCAGCCCTACTAGTGGGTTACATTTTTATTGCTTTTATGTACATCAGGCCACTGCATCTGGTAGACTGCACTGAGTGAGTTTTGTCACAGTGTTGATATTTAAAGTACTGAATGTCTTTGTGGCTGGGTCATGTATTTTATCCAGAAACAGCAATGTTGGATTCAGATTGTATCAGATCGGTAACAATTCTTTTTATATGCACGTCTTTCCATTAACGTTACTTCCTACCGTAAGAAAGTTGTGGTGTGGTATGACGTGATGTGTGCTGGTTTAAATAGGGTCTGATGCTAATACTTGAATGAGAGCCCTGAATTATGCTATTTTTTTATTTTTGCGTGGGTCTGTTTTTGTTTTATTTCGCTGAGTTCTCTGCTCGCTGCCATGTTGTTTGTGTGTTTCTATGGCAAATGTGGGGGGAATACGGGAACCCAGACAGGCGCATTGCATGTGTTAGAGTGAAAAACTATTTTCATTAAAACAAATCTATGTTAACTACACATTTAAGTTGATAAAATCGATTTATCACCCAGCTCCCATACTTGGGCCACAGGTCCTGCTATTGCTTGTGGTGAAGGCTGAGCTACTCAACATAGATATACACGGTGATCCTTGGGGAAAAAATTAAAACAGTCCCCTATAATCCCCCATCTTCTGAAATCTGTATCCACCTTGGCGTCATGAGGCACTGCCGCAATGGGCCCCTCTGGGGCTTCCTCATATGGAAGTGCTGTGGCGCACTTTGTTGCATGGCACAGTGGTACATCACACGTTGACAGGATCAGCCTCAGAGGAGCCTTGGAGAGCAGTCTAACTCAAGGATGTGAATGAACACAGTTTGAGTTCTTTTTTTGGATGGAGTGAAGAGTGAATATTGTGCTATGGCACAAAGAGTTACCATAGGCTTTGTGAGTCACTAAATATTGAGTAAATATTTTTTGTTATGCAAAAAAAAAAAGCCCAGTCACTCTGTTCTCATGGTGCAAGCCCATCTGAGTGTTGCCTTGGCATGGGCCGGTATAAGATTCTGCCAGTATGATAACCTTGTATAAAAATATCACTGTATTTTCATTATTTTTGTAAAATATGTTCTTTTTCGGTAAAAAAAACAACTTTTCCTCCATTGAACACTATTTTTTTCAATAAACATTTAAAATATTGTGGAACAGTAAACATGTCAGGCTAAATAATTCAAATAAATACTCGACTTCTATCTTCATGAGATTCAAAAACACTGATTTCTTTACCACCTGTAAAGGCATCTTTGAAAATCTTTCTTTTCTTTGGATATGAAGAAAGCACTGCACTGTTCAGGTCTATAGCAAAATTGGTGCATAAGTGATTTGTTTATCAGATGTTTCCTGAATTGTGGGCTAACCAGGAGCTTTTGATGTGGATGGTGTTTTCTGCTGGAGATACTGTTGTCCTAAAAAAGAAAACAGTCATAAACACATACCATATAAACGATATAACATAACATTTTGAGGGTTTTAAAACCTTAACTTTTCCATACCGTGGTAAATCTTGAAACCAGTTATTGCCCCATGCCTGTTCTTGATACTAATTGTTTAGCAGGGTATTTTTGTAATAAACATTTTAAGCTTAGTTGGTAATATGCATATTAAAGAGGTAATTCACCCAAAAATTAAACTTCTGTCATTTACTTGTACTCAAGTGGTTTCAAATCTTTATGCATTACTACCTTCTATTAAACACAAAAAAGATATTCTGAAAGCCTGTGAACATAGTTCCCACTTTGGAAGTCAGTCATTGCAGGCATTTAGGTTTCTTCAGAATATCTTTTTTTGTGTTTAACAGAAGGTAGAAATGCATAAAGATTTGAAACCATTCGAGGGTGAGAGAATGGTGAGTAATGTCTTTAAGTCTTCCACAACGGTCTAATGATAATAAACCCTGAAATGGTTTGATAGATACTTCATTCAATCCAAAGGGAAAGTGTTTTTAGATCATATCATATGCACGAAAAATCTTAAGTGTTTGTCGTCAGACAGAATTCACTCCAAAATAAAGACTATATTCCTTGTGAAACAGATGGCTGCTTTCATAATTTAAAGGTAAGCGAACTCTGGGCCCTGCAGTGGCTGCTGTGAAGCGGTTGGGGCATGGTGCCACTCTGGGTACTGAGATGTTAATTAGGGAAGGCTGAAGAAATGTTAGAGCGTAATGGGATTCTGGTGAATGAAAGAGTGATCGAAAACATGGTGAGATTTCGATTAAAGAGGGAAAGATGGTTGTGAGATGAGAATAAAAGAGGTAATGAATGAAATGGCTGAATTGGTAGATTTTCATAATGAGAGGAGGAAGAGGCTTTGTGGACGTTGGTAATCATTGTGAACATTATGGGCAGTGATGGATAAATACCCATTATGCAAGCAAGCGGGAACTTAATTTGAGAGGGATTTAATTAGGTTGCTTCAGCCCAAATAACTGCATTATATAAGGATCAAGATTGAGGGGCTCTTCATATACACCTGTATTGAATATCACCATTTTATGCAAAACAGCATACAGCTGTCTGCTATTAGCCTCATATTGTGTTAGAGACGTAGGCTGCTCTTGTCCTTTGTTGTTATCATAAGAATAATAGAAAACTGGGAGAGTGTGGGAAATTATGACCCCTAGCACCATTATCCCATGCATGGTAGATTTATGTGTGTAGTCTTTTGCAGGAGGTATTAACCAGCTCCTGAAATGTGTGCAGTTGCTCGTTTCTGTCTGTGGTGCAAGAGATGACCTTTCTTTAGTCACCATTTCCTTGCTTTTATTACAGCGTGAACAAGAGCTGCCAGGATAACAGTCCTGTCTGACTCATGTTTGTCCAGAAATGGCTGGTAAACCAACTAAGTCGGGCTTAAATTTTGATTTGGAGACATAGTTGACTGCTTCTGAGATGCATTTACATATTACCTTTATACAGAAATACATGTGTAAAAATAATAGGGGTGTCGAAATTAATTGTTTCTTTGGTGCACAACAATATAGATGGGGACAATTCTGTATTGGTTCAGTAATAGATCATAACTGTTTATTACATACTGACGTCATATAAGTGCTTTATTGTGGTAGCTTACCATGGCGAGAAAGGCAAGCGTGAGTTATTTAAACACTCCAACTACTTAAAAACGCAAAACTCTGCACAATTCACTGCTTGTGTGTTTGCTGGACAGTCTTTCACTGACACTGAAGTTACAGCAGATGCCGTGTTTTTCTGTTATGGGAAAATGAAAAACTCCATTTCTCTCTCTTCCTCACCCTTTGACCTGCTGGCGTGAGGTAACGTTTCCTCTCCCCTCGGCTGTTCGGCGATACTTGTGGATACAGACAAGAGCACTTGTCTTCAGAGCGAGTTTTCTCCTTATGTTGTATCGTGGATCAGCCACTTATTCGTTTATCAGTGTCACTTATTGGTGAACAGAGCCAGAGTATTAGAGCCAATTGTAGACCTTTAAGCGCATGACCAATCATAGGACTGTAAGAACTCGCACGTCAATGCTCAGAAATCGAGCAGCATATTTACATTTTGTTTATTTGCTATAAATTCTCATGTTGTTTTGTGCATGTACTTGAGTTTTTAAAGGTACTGTATATATAAGACTGTTTGCATTAACCCTTTAACTGCCCAACCAAGATAAAAATATTTGGATTGCATTTCTTAACTCCTAATGTCAGTAGTTAACACCATCGATGCATTTTTTTTTTCAACACATCCCATAATTTAAAAAAAATATCAGCCTCTACCAAATAGTTGATATGTGAGTTTTTGGTAAAATTACCGGACTTAATACATATACTATGAAAAATCTGAAAATATGAAGTTGAAGACCAATTTATTAAAAAAATATTCAAAATAAAATATTTAACAAATAAAATAAAATAAAAGTATTCCGTAAAACATTTTAGATTCTCTTTTAACAGGTTTTCTCTTTTTTATTTTATTTTATTTTAATTTTTTACAATAAAACCAATTGTAGTAGCGCAACAGGATGTTTGTTTGATTTAAAAAAATACAAACAATTTATGTATATATTTTTACATTTTAATACAAGAATTGTTGCACTGTGAAGTAAAATATAAAATTGTGTATAAAAAAAGCATCTTCAATGCACCGAGATATTGAGTTGAACCGAATCAATGGCATGATAGTCATAAACAAACCAAACCGTGGCCAGTGTAGTTTTATAGCTCAAAAAAATAACTAAATTTTTGTAAATCCACTTCATATGCAAAACAATTTTATTTATTTCAGCATTAGAGAAAAAAGTATGTTGTCCAAGTTTGGTTTGAGTGTATGTGCGGTGGTCTACAATGGGATCACCTGTTTATTTACCTTTTTGTTTGTCTGTTTATTAGGGGTGTAACGATATTCAAAATGTACAAAAAAGTGGTACTCTCAATACTCATAGCGAACCGAGGTAATTCCCTTTTGTCCGAGTCCCTTCAATAGATGGATGGATGGATGGATGTATGGATAAATGATGGATAGTGTATTGACATTTTAGAACATTCCAAATGTAGCCTACTGTATGGTAGCATCAAGTGTTTATTTCTGACGATTCTGCTGTGGAGATAATTCTTTTTAGTTTCCTTAGATCAGCTGACTGCACTAATTACAACAGGTAAAGCCAGTCAATAAAGTAATAGTTTAATTATTGCTGTTATTAAGTCTAGTGTTCAATAACATTGCTGGTGCCACAGCACAACCGCTGCCCCCTAGCAAACTGAACCGAATAGTACCATGGGTCCGATATTGTAAACCGAATTGAACCATGGCATTCCATACCTAATACCTAAGGCATTACATACCTAATTTTTATAGAAATTTGCCTTGGTTTATTCTTCATGTAATCTGTTTCCTTCTTTTTGTCAACCATGTTCTCATTTTGTGCATGTTTTTCTGTGTCTTCCAGTTGTAGGATTGCTGATTCTCCAATGGAACCGTAGGATTCAGCATATTCAGCCTTAGTGGCACTTTGTTGTGGGTGAAGTCGCCATGAAGAGTGAGATTTCGGCTGATGCACGACAAAAGCAAGAGCCCCTGAAGGGGCCTCTGGCTAACCCCGAACCCATGGAGACGGCTAAGAGCTTCCCTGCTGAGATGGAGGTGATCGGCAAGGCAGGAAGTGACTTCACTTCTCCATTGTGTGCTGAGACCAGGCATCGGCCCTCTCGAGATGCTGGAGGTCGTAGAGACTGTGAAAGGGGCTTGTCGGGGCGCAAAAAGCGCAAGAGCCAGCAGCCTGGACCCTCGTATTGTTCTTTGAAGGAAGCGCCAATGAGTGAGGCCACCCTTACTCCACCCCGACACAGGCCCATGCTTTTAGAGACACGTAGCGAGGATGAGAGGAACCCTGAGTCCTCGTTGAGTGACTGTGCGTCTTCGCCCTCCTCCAGCCTTCGATTTGGTGACTCGGACACTCTTAGTTCAGATGAGGATGGCATGCCAATGACCGTTAGACAGCAACTCAAAGCTCACGGTGCGGCCTCCACTGGCAGCACAGGGAGCAGCACAGGTACGGCAGTAGGCATTCGGCCGCTGCTCGCTCGGACTCGTGCCAGCAGGTCGCACAAGTGGGCGCGACTTGAGCCTGATAGCAATCATGTGAAACGTCCATGTCTCGGCTCGCGCAGGCCATTGCACAGGAAGCGTTTTGTGAAGGGTGGGGCAGGGGGCGTGACCCAGCGGACTCCAAAACAGAAGGAGCGATTGCTGCTGCAAAGGAAGAAGCGAGAGGTGATTGCACGAAAGAAATACGCCCTCTTGCATAGTACTAGCAGCTCCAGTGAGGAGATGACCTCTGATGACTCCTCTCCTTCTTCCACTGAGGCAGAGCATGAACTGTATGTGGATGTTAACAGCAGTAGCAGCCAAGCCAGTACTGCGGCTGTGGCATCAGGTAAATCCGCTATTTATTATTTTATTTTTCCCAGTCACCGCAACTTATTGTTTTTAAATGAAGTATACAGATACGGAGAGCTCACAGTTTGTCCTTGTGGTGACTACTTTGCTTTGAATGAGAGTGCTTGTATTCTTTCAAATGACTTTGAATTTTTCCTTGTTTGCATTAAGAAAAGTTGGATTAAAACTATATACTGACACAATTCAGCAACGATCATGAACCCACCAATAGTTTCAAGCAACTGAACTGGTCAAGGCTGTTATTGTAATTGTGAAGAAAAACATACTCTATTCCCCAATCAGCATCCAGGACTGGAACCATTGTTTTTTTTGTTTATATAGCAGAGGTGGGTACTCGTGGTGAATAACTCAAGTTGCAAATTTGAAAGAGACCTAGCATCCAAAAATCACTTTTACATGTTGCTTGAACACTAATGTGTGTCCAAAGTGTGCATAAACAGCCAGCCTATAAAGGTCAAATCCACCCTCTTTTTTTTATAAGCTCCCTAAATAAGAAGCAGTGTCTGAAATTATGCTGTTTTAGATTTCGCCCCCAATCTGACGTCAAAAGCTCAGGTCATGACAAATGATGATCTGTCCTGTTAACATGGATCTAAATTCAAGAGAGAATGTTACTTTCATGTTCTGAGGCAGGGGTGTCCAAACTCGGTCCTGGAGGGCCAGTGTCCTGCAAAGTTTGGTTCCAACCCCAACCAGACACACCTGGGCTAGCTAATCAAGCTCTTACTTGGCTTTCTAGAAACTTCCATGCAGGGGTGCGTTTCCCAAACAACGTTGTGACTTTCGGCTGAGCTATCATAGCACGATGCATCATTTAGGAAAAGCACTATGTATTTATTAGTAAATAAAAAAAAATCACTCCTAAAATAATATTTATAATTATAATGATGATGACGATGATGGTTATTATTTTTAGTAGTAGGATATTGTTTTATTTATTTATTTATTTATTTTTGAAAAGTCTACTTTTATAGTTTGACACATGCAAGCCACTGCAGAAATGTTATAATTAACAGGCCCTTGTCAGATACAGTGCAGATACTTAATAAATAACCTATTTATTATTACTAAAAATTAATACATTAACAAAGGCTATATATATTGTTTTCACAAGCTTTGGAAATGTACCATAAATTCCACTTTAAAACAATGTCACCTATAGCTTTCGCCATGAGCCACAGCTGTGTTCAATATGGCATCAATGTTTTCAAAGTGCACTGCGAATAGAGCGCAATTGTAAACCTAAAGATTGCTAAAACTGAACTGTAAAAATACTTTAAAAGCAAATGACACATACGAGAGATGACTTTAATGCTTAAAAAATCATTCCATGTTAAAATGTTAGAATGTTCTAAATGAATAGGGCGTAGGGGGGATAACTGGGAATAGAACACAGTCAGGAACTATGTTTCTAATTACAGCTCCAGAGGTTTAGTTGCAAGAATCGTTTGCGACGCAGTTTTTGAATGTTCGTTGAAACGATGGATTTGGGAAACGTCAAATTAACGAACCATATTTGTAATGACAGAACTTGCGACCTTAGCTGGTTAACGATGGTTTTCGGAAACGCACCCCAGGTCTGTTCAAGCAAGTTGAAGCTAGAATCTGTTGGACATCGGCCCTCCAGAACCGAGTTTGGACAACCTGTTCTAAGGCATAACTGCATAAATACTTATCAAGTAAAGCACATCAACATATTTATTGGATATAATTTAGTTCCACCGTTCAAACGGCAAACTTTATTTGCACGTCGTAACTTTAAAAGGTTCAAAATGATGAGGCAATTCGCATATCTCAACTGCTTGTTCTCAACCCTTGCGATTGATTTATTTATTAAATAACAAAAACATTTGTTTAAATTCATAAAGGCATACAGTGTACTTGGGTGCTTAGCATGTGTATGTGCTAATTACCCTTATTACAGAATTTTTGTAGCACATAGAAGCTTGCCCTGTTTCTCCATTTGAAGTTCCAGACTTAACGGCAAAAAATACTATTTATATATTTTTATCTAAAATATTGCATATATGTGAATGGCTCTTTAAGTAGCAAATTAACTCATTGGAGTGAGTGTACACAATTTGTCTTTGTAAATAATTTATTTTGCATTTGTGATATTCAGTAAAGTTTGAGATATAAAAAAAAATAGCCCATGTTCGCATGCGTTTCCTATGGGTGCTCCGGTTTCCCCCACAGTCCAAAGATATGTGCTATGATTAAAATCCAAAATATTGTAATATTGAACATATTAAAGTATAGTATAACTTTTTTACATGTACATTTGATCAGATACATTTTGCCATGATGAGCATCTTTCAGGAATATTAAAGTCGTTACTGACTCAACTTTGCTGCATGCGGTCTCCGTCTAAAAAACAGAAACGGCACAGCAGGAGATCAATTGTGCATTTTTGCTTCTGCTTCTGTCCTTGATTATATTTTTCATAAACATTCGAATTGAGTTGTATGTTGTTGAAGTAAGCAAGTTTCACCTCCCCCTTTAAAGGGTGGGGATATAAACAGCTACATTCTCAAACACATTTGCAAAACTTCAAATACTTTTCTCATTTTGTTTCAAGCATTCAAAATTAATACTAAAAGTAGTAATGCTACAAAAAAAATAAAGGCTTGTTTATTGGTCAAAACTGTGCATATTTTAAGAGATTTATGTTGTAGCTGTTTCTTTTGTTTTTGAGGGATGGCTACAGCCATCAGCGTCATTCTGTGCGTGTTACAGAATGTTTGAATTTCCTGTTGAGCAACAGCAAGTCCTCACCCAGCCCTCTCAATGCTCTCTCTACCGTTCACACATTCCCTTCTCACGGAGATCTACACCACTCAATTGAATATACATACATCGGCTGATAAAACCACAGAAATGTGTTAAAATATCTGTAGCTAGCAGTGCATCAGCAAAGTACCTGCCATACATAACTAGTGGTCTAGTGCTTCATCTGATTTTTCTTTTTCTTGCTGTCCCTCAACCTTGCCACTCACTCATACCAGCATGTTTTCATGCGTACATGTGATTAGTCTGTCATGACACTCAAATGTACTAATAGCTTCCTAAAAATGCAGATCATATCACTGAGATGATGCCTCGTTGTTAGAAATCTTTATATATATATATATATATATATATATATATATATATATATATATATATATATATATATATATATAATTTATTATTATTATTATTATTTTTTGGTTAGTTATAGGTTGTGATTATCGACTGTATAAAATGTGTTATTAGCTGCCTTTTCCAACGATTGGTGAAACACCTTTATCCTTGCATAAGAAAACAGAATATCAGTTCTCATATCAATTGTTTAAGTTAGCTCCCTAAACCTAATGAGGAGTTACTTGGAAAATCTGTGAATTTCCTTGGAAATTACTGGATGAGATCAGAGCAGCTCTTCAGCCCCCCAGATGTTTCCGTACTTTTTCGATGCTCACATTAGTTATTCTGGAGAAGCACTGCTGTAACATCAGTTCTAAGGGTGTAACGGTACAAATTACAGCTCAGTCTGGACCTTGGTTTTAAAATAAAAATTTAGTGTGTTTACAATGGGGTAACACAAAAAGATGAAACTGTTTTAAAATCCACTCAAGTCATTTTAAATTTATTTGTATAGCACTTTTCACAATAATTATTGTTTCAAAGTAGCTTACAAAAGGGGCACATTATTTTGTTACAATCAGAATTAGAAAAAATAAGGAGTTGTGTATAGAGTGGATATTATATATATAAGCATAGCTAACCTGTAGTTTTATAGTATAAAATGTCCTTCCATTATTTAATTAATGACAAAATTTTATACAAAGCATATATGTCGCAAAACTTATATCATACAGCAGCTCACAGTTTTTTTTAGCAATATATAAAAATTTATCGATGAATAATTTTGCCTGAATCTGCCTATAAAATTATATTCAGTGTGCGCACAGAAATTTTGTACATCTAAAGGCTTGTGTACAGTGGGACGATTTTCAGTTTTGATTGATAGTGACATATTGCTGCTGTCTAAGGACTCAAGCACAGATAACCACGAATGCTGACCAAGATGTCATTTTTACTGGTGGGGGTAGTAAAAAAAAAAAAGCATCATAATTCTTTTTCAAACAATTCTAAATCGATTCTCAGATCTTTAGAATTGCTTAAGTATTCACATTAGATTGCAGGTGTGAGTCTGCGTGAGCACAAGCCCTAAACAGACTTTTTTGGTGGGGAAATAAGTACAGTTTGTTCTTCTTGCTGTTTGTAATTGCATTTTTTTTACATTCAGAGCTTGTGCTTGTTCATCCTAAACATTTTTTTTAAATAAAATAAACAGTACTGTCATACAGAGATTACGGTCTCCTAAAACAAAAAGCATAGAATCTCAAATTCAAATTCAACATCAAAACCATAAAACAAAAATGTATATGCCTAATAGTAAAAAAATTAAGTTTTATTTTATTTGAAAGAAACAATGTGGGATTTCTTTTCATGTTTATTACTATGTAATTATATTTGCAGTCTAATATAAAAATATGCCAAGCAATTGAAAATAACGTAAATTGGCTGAAGGGTTTAATTGCAGAGCTTCAATTTTCTCAGCATCTCCATTGCTGTTATCAGATACTTTCTTAACTTCTGTTTTCTATACTATTGTAATTTTAATTGCAGGTTTGGTTTGCTATTGAAAGGAAAACATGCAGCACTTTTTAAAATGTTCATCTGTCATTCAATTGGATGTTTGTTAACAGAATGTTTCTGTGCAATTATTTCAAACTACTACTTGCACCTAAGAGAAGAAAACATTTTGGGCCTGTAGAATTCTGCTCTTTCAATCATGCTACTAAATTAACACTTTTGTTGCTGTAATTTTGTAATTTTCATTAGCATATAGTCTATTTACCCACTGGTTAACAGAGACATCACAAATTCTTTTCCACACATTTGCAGAATTCAAACTCTATAGTTCATTTTCTGTATCTGTAGTAGGTCAGGTTTGAACCCTTAATATACGGCTTCATGTTTCCTCCTGTAAGTTGTAGTTGTGTTTGGTAGTGTCTAGTGTGATCATTTCTTGTGGGCAGCATAGGGAACATGGTAAGAGCAGGGTGCTAAGCAGCAGCACTCAGTGGGACAGCCAACCCTAACAACAGACCCCAGAGAATGGTGATGCATCTCCTGAGCCACGAGCTTCTGCCTCAGTGCACAAACATGCCTAACACAGATAGTATAACACAACAACCTTGCAATCCTGGCATACAATTTTTTTTACCATATTGGATTCAGTATATAGTACAGTTGTGTTTCTTAATTCAAGATGAATTGTTCGAAGTTGTTTTAAGTGCAACTTCTATAAAACTGCTACAAATCTGACAGGTATGCTGGTGTTATAAACTTAAGCTAAATATGTCCTGCATTTTATTTTTGATAAAAATGCATAGCGATCACATAATCATTGAATTTCAGTCATTTTTCTTTCATGTATTTCGAGATGCAATTTTGGAGCTGTTGAAAATGGAGCTTACGTACAAGTTGTTTGTCAGTCGCACTGAGATGTGTACCAGCTATGCTTGCTAGCTTTATTTTGCACACACCCTGGCCTCTTGACACCAAATCCAGGCAGAGGCTGAGTTAAAGAAGGAATGAGAAGTCAAGCAGGAGAGCCAATCAGAAGAGAGATGAGTGATTGTACTACAGAAGCCTGTGCCGGCACACTGCAAAGCACATCTTTGACTGACCTACATTTAGTTCCCCAGCACACACACACACACACACACCCGCACACCCGCCTGAAGCATTGGTTGGCTCCACTGCTGCACCAAACCATCATCAATTAAACAGCTGTAGCTACTGAGACTGATATTGCTTCTGCTACTAGTAATGCCTAGTGTATCTTTCTGAAGCACAAGTGACACTTCAAAAGTACAGTCTTAAGATGACCACAGATCGCTTTGATGGTAGCGTTTATACACTTCTCATCATAAAAACAGCAGGGGTAATGTTAAATATTCAAATAGTGAAGATGCATGTTGGTTCTACTTTAGAAATCGCAAACGTTTACCCTAGGAGCCCTTTGCTTATTCGAGAAGCTAGATGTTTTGGTGACGACAAACATCATCAGCCTGAGTTTTGATGATTTTCAGTGGACACAAATTAAAGCTATGACCTTTCCATTTTGGTAGTTATGGTGTTACCTGTATGATGCTTTGACATTTTAAATGAACAGCAGGGACAATTATCTTCTCTATCTGGTGCAACCACTTACCATTGTCACAATTAAACATGTGGTTTCAAAAATTAGGGTTCACTACACTCTGCTTTTTCTGCAAATGTTCAAAGTTTAATGGTGCACTCACACCTGTCTCAATTAAGACGTTTGGAATCTGAATAATATGTCAAGATATATGTGAACACATTAATGCGATTTGCAATCAGCCCACTTGTAGATGAAATCTGGAGCTGTTCACTTGTTATGAGTAATCAGTGTATGTAAACATTAATCCAGTTACTTTGTGTCCTTGTTAAGTGAATTCAAACAGGTTAACCATTATGTTTGATTTCATAAATTGGAATTATTTAATTCAGATTGATACAAAATTGCTTAGAAAACATGGCCAATGCATGATGATTACATTGTGTGATAATGAAATAATGTATACATTTTATTAAATTGATATTTATTTCTTACATTTTTCATAATTTATTAAAAAATGTTTAAATGTTCAGAAGAAAACATGTCTGAACAACTGTCAAGAAGTATATAAAACACTGTCAAATCTTTGATTCTTGCTCAATTTGTGACCCACTGTGCAAAAAAGCAACAATAGCTCTGTGGAGCTGTTGTCTACCCATTCTGATTGATGAGCAGAAACCCACAACAAACCTGTTCTCTCTGAACAATGGGATGACTGTACATTTTTTTCAGTTTTAGAAATATTCACTACTGAAATCAAATCAAAAAGAAAAGAAAGTCTAACGATTTCATTCTTGTTTTAAAGCAAATTATGAAAGTTATTTCAGAGTTACCACCAATCAATTTTTCACACTGACTGGGCCATTTTATAATAAATATACTGTATAGCTACGGTGGGCTAAGATATATAAATTGGATGAAATTACGCATGGGCTGGTATATGATCTTGACTATATGAAAACCTTGGATAAAAATATCAGTTTCGCAGTATTGTGATTACATCTCTCAAAGTTTTTTTTTAAATTTCTCTGTAAAAAACAACTACTTTTTCTTTTTAAGTTAATTTCTTTACAATTAATAATATTTAGTTGAAATTTAAATAAAACATAATTGTAATTGCTCACAGTACGGGCTCTTGTATGTTTGCTCTAAGCAAATTTTTTTTTCCTGTGCTGGAATGTTAGCATTAATTAGCCTAATTTCCTTCAGGTGTCTTGGATGAGGACGTGGTTGTGATTGAAGCAACTCCTGCTCCTGCAGTGCCTGCCAGTGAGGAGATCAATGTCACCTCCACAGACAGTGAAGTGGAGATCGTAACCGTTGGAGATGCCTTCAGGTGAGATTTTTCTTGAGTATCTTATTGTAGTTTTAAACAAATATTGAACTATGAATGGTGTCCTTTCTGAACTAGATTCATAAGGCATTATAGAAATTCATCCGAATTTCACTATATGTCCCCATTGAGAAGCTGTTGTTACCCCAGTCTAGATGAGAGGGCACATCTGGGCTTAGACATGAAGCTGGCAGTCTCCAGTAGAGCTGAAGATCTTTGCCCGAACCCAACGGGTTCGATTGGGTTCGGGTTTAATTTCTATCATTTTATATGGGGTCGGGCCGGGCTTGGCTTGCGCAGTAAATGAACAGTCATGTGATGCATTTCGATTAGTGCGAAAAAGTAAATAGTTTGTTACAACATTAAATTCCCTCCCTGCAAAGGTGAAACAAAAAATGACGGAGAAGTCAAAAAGAACGAATTTTGACTGTGGTCAACCCAGCCATTAGTTCAGAAAGAACCTGTCATTCTAGCCGCAAAGGTATTTTGGCGGTCACTCATACTCTGCGTGTTACAGAAGAGCGCTAAACAGCACAGCAAGCTGACAGGGAAGATGACGAGGCCACTCGCTACATTGAAACTGCTGTCATGGAAAATTAAATGGATGTTCTTGGTTGGTTAAATATGAACAAACAATCCTACCCAAAAGTTGCTAAATTAGCCAGATTAGAACTATGCATCTCGGACTGTAGCAGCAGCAGTGAAAGGGTGTTCAGTGCTGTTGGACCCACCATCCTGAGAGCAGGACTGCGCTAAAGCCATTTACAGTGGATTCAGTAATGCTCCTCCACAAAAAACACATAGCCTAATTTGTGTGTAAAGGTTTTTTTTAATTATAAATGAATTCTAATTAAACCAAAAAATCCTAATGTAGACAGTATACAGGCTATTGTTGGCATTAGGCTATTCTTTTAATATTCAGCTTCACCGTCACCTTAATGCTAGATTGTGAAGAGAAGTGGCGAAACAAATCTCGCAGAGCCTTTATCTTAATTTTGTTATTGCCAGATTAAAAAATTATTTTACTTTAATTTGTTAGGAAAGCTTTATTTTTAATGGTGTGTTGGCCAATTTAAAGGCTAAGTGTATACCTAGGCCTTTTTAGAGTGCTGAGATGTTACAATGAATTAACTAATAAATTAAAACTAATAAATTATGTTAAAAATATAGCCTAAATGACTCTTGTGATAAATGATTCTTGAAAAAAGGCAAAAGAGATGTGTGCGTGCGCACATTTGAAATATGTCGTGCTATAAACGAGTTCGGGCTTTATAAAGCTGTCAATCCAAATTTACCTGTCGGGCTCGGGCCCTATCAGGCCTAATTTTTATGGCCCGGTTACAGCTCTAGTTTCCAGTGTTATGAAGGCATTCCACTGAGCATCCTGCTGTTAGTGTGCACTTTAGGGATGAGCCCCATATCAGAAAGTGCGCCATATATCTGTGCACCAAAACCAAACAAGAGTTTTCATGGTTCCCTAATGTTTTTTGACCTGCGGGATGTTCTCACATTCTTGTGAAAGGGAGTTTAGTACAATGCCTCTCATTGAGTGTTGTAAAGATTTCTGTTGAGTTCACAGAAAAGCAGAGACTTTGCTTGTAGATTTGATTTTCGATTTTCTGCATACCATATTCATTTAATAAACACTACAGCCTCCAGTATTTTGGCTGGGTTTGCCCAAACCATGTCAAACGGTGCTCTCAGCAGGCCTTCCTTACAAATCTGATAGAAGCTCTAAACTCAATCATATCTGATATGGTTTTGTCCGAACTGCGCCCCTTCTTCCCGTTGCTTGATTTGGTTTCAGTGGCCCGCTTCTCTCCTAATTGTTATTGAGGGGTCTGTTCCTGAGCTGAGAATCATTGCTTTATTCTATTACTTTTTTAACTGCTGCCAGAAATAGCGGCGGCCACCTCCACCACACGCCTGCCAGCAAAGTCATTCAGTCGAGCCCATTGAATACTGAACTTTCGTCATCGTGGGCTGTGTGTTGGAGGTTGATCAGTGGTGTGGTTGCCTTTCTCTGGGTTTGCCGAGACGTAGAGTTGGATGAGTTACTCCTCAGGCTGTTTATTCACTGGTGCATGTTTGCATGTTTTATTCTGTAGTGTTCACGGAAGCCCATAAAACCTCTGTGACAGCACGAATGAGGTGAAACACAAGTTTTCACAGTCAATCCAGCCCAGAGGGATGTTTATTTAACATGCACACAAAGATAAATAAGTGATTTCTTTGGTTGCCTGCTGCCTAGCTTTGATGCCTGCTGGTCCATTTAGTCGAGGTTGAGGATGCGCTGCTCAGAAAAACATAATACTGTGAACTGCAACAAGTGGCTTTGTTTTTTTTTTCCACAGTGTTGATTCTCATCCCACAATGTTTTTTTTTCCATTCAAAGGTTTTAGACTTTGTATTTAACATTTTAAGGAAAGTGAATGTAATCCCATGGTGCATTATGGAATGCATTTTTGAATCAAAAACAATGGAGGAATAGTTTTGATTTACAAATGCTGATTTTGTGAAATAAAACAATATATGTCACTTTATAAAATTAGTCTGAGTTGTAAGGACACTTACTTAAAAGGCACCTAGTTTACCCCTTTTTAAAGATTTAATATTAATATTATGGTTCTTCTGAGTGTGCGAGTTTAGGTTCAGTTCAAAACACAATTCAGATTTTTTTTACTATAATGTGTTAAAAAGTGTCATTTTGGGGGTGTGTTCACAGGTCGCTGTTTTAGGGGTGAGTTTCTTTACATGAAAATTAGTTTTGACTTCCCGCCCAACGTAACAAGGGGGCGGAACCTAGACCTTCTCCCGTTTTGTGTTTGGCAGCAGCTGTGTCACGTGACGCTGCGCATTGCCTAGTGGTGCTTCTGGTGTGCGACCTGCAGGCAAGTTTTTTTTTTTTTATTTCCAAAGGAGACACGCACGTGAGGGAACGCATTCACACTTTCCAGATGCACCTAGTTAGGATCACAGGGAGCTTCTTTGACCGCCAGAAATGCAAACGGCTAAAGTTTAAGGTAGAAGCAATAAAAAGTACACATGTTTGCAAAGCCACCTAAAGTTACAAACAATAATTCCAATTAGAGCGATCATGCATTGAATGTTGATCTTGTGTTGAGCCAAATGAGCCTTGCATCTAAAAATAGAGCAAGGGTGTTCCTTTAGTGACATCGCTTTGACTCACACGCTGAAAATGGCGGATGTGAAACAACAAACTTAGGATATGGTGATGCTGCCTGTCAATCAATATTGGTGGGTGGGGGGACCGCACTCCTACGTCAAGTTGCGGTCGTAGAAAAACCGCTCCAATTGGTCCAATGTTTTTATGTTGTTAAATTGAAAAAAAGGACTGGGTGTGTTAAATCACCCCAATATGAAGGTATATACACTACCTACTCACTTGTCTGTCCAAACAGCTAAAAAAGTAGATTTTTCCGCATAGGTGCCCTTTAAGACTCTTGCTTAAAGGAATATTTGAAAAAAAAAATGCTCTGAATTAATTTTTTTCTGAAATGATGCTAGATTTAGGCAATTTTTTTTCTTTTTGGAAAAAGATTTTTAGCTGAAACTATGGTCCTTGGAAGTTCATTAAATGCAAGTCATCAGCTATATAGAATTAGATTGGTTTCAAGTAAAATGCACAAAACTTTTGCAAGAACAAACACAAATTAATTAAAATTAACATCCATTACTCCTTATGATTTATTGTATTGGATCATTTGAACCAGTTAAAAAGGTTTGCGTATCCATTGGAACCAAATTGTCTTGAGACTTCGGGCCTCATTCATTTGATATTTTGCAATAAATTATTCTTATTTTATTATTTTTATTTTTGATACCCAAGCTCTTACTAATCAAGGTTTTATAAGGTGTTCTCAAAACTTCCTCGTAGGTGTGTTGAAGGAAGTTGGAGCTAAACTCTGCAGGACATCGTGCCCCAGCACCAAGTTTGGGAACCCCTGTCATAAACACTTTTTTGTAGAGCAGGTAGTTTGACCGGTTATGGCCATTTGTTATTCATAGAGGTTGTTTTCCCAATAGGCAAATAAATAGGAACTCTGTTTTCCTTAACCGTGTACCGGCAAAGCAGTTTAGCTTTAGCCATTGTGCTTATTTTAGCTAAAGGCTTGCCTCTCTTAGGTTTTGTGTTGATTTTCACAAATCCTCTCTTATGGTCTTATAGGATAGGGAAATCATGCAGAATTCATTCTACCTACTGTAATTTCAGACATACTGCTTTTCCATATACCGTTTTCTCCTATTTTATAGTGGGAAAGTAGGCATATTTAATTTCTAGCTGTTTAACTGGGTTACAGTCCGTACTCATAATTTTAAGAAAACGTAGCATAAGTAAACAACAGCCAAAGTTATTATTAAGTTATTACTTATTAAGATAAAGTAATCAGCAAAACAATGCACACAACAAGAAATTGGGAGCCCAACAACATATGAAAATAACCAAACAAGGATAAAGCAGGTTGGGACTCCCCACTTCAGACAAAAGTCAAAAAAGAAAGTACAAAGGAGAATGAGTGAGAGAGTGATTTGTTTTTCAAATGTTTCCTAAATCATGGGCTGAACACGAGCTTTTATTGTGCAGGGTCCTTTTTTGATGAAGACACTTTTGCCCTGAACAAGCTAAAAAAAATAATTGTAAAAAAAAAAAACTTACATATAATGTAGGAATGCTAACAGAAAATTTCAGTGGTTTTAAAACCTTGACTATTCCAAACCACGGTAAACCTTGAAACCGTTTGCCTAATAACAATGCATGCCATAAATGAAGTTAATCGTAGATATAACCAGCAGCGTAAAGTTACAGTATATACTGCTAATGATATGGTTAGCACTATACTAGTTTTCTGTTCTGAACCTGTCTGATGTTTGAGGCTTGTGTGACTCATGTTCTCCACTGGTTAAAGTCACATGTCTGGGATGCCAATGCTCGCTCTGTCCCTACAGGTGGTGAGGGCTGTGTTTGGTTTCTGTGCCCCGCC